TCAGTTCGACTAAAGTTATTTTCAATTTTAAGCTAATGGCGTCTATGCTTCTTTTGTCTGCCCCATATTCCTATGAACTGTTCGATATGGGTGGTTGTCTTCTTCCTCCGTTGTTCTATCGTATCTATGTGTTTGTATGTATCACTTGTCATTATTTTTCTCTCGAGATATGCAACCAAGTAGTTTCGACAACATACTGCTATTCATTCAACGGCAAATGAACATTATATCTTCAAAAAGTCTCATGGAACAAAGTGGTCAGTAGGTGCATTTTCAGTTATTTATGCTACTTCTACCCACTTCTACTTCCAACTGGGTGAGCGCTTACGAGTGTCCCTTTCCTTAAGTAGGTCGTTGGATGATGTAGAGACATGGTGTTGCCTGATTCGCTGATGTTTGTGCACCTCCTCCCCTATCGGTACAAATTATTGCATTGATACTGTCATCTCGATTGGCGATGAAACTTTTGCAATACAACTACCAAGCTCGGTGAATAATTGAACATCGTCGAACACAGTATCAAAAGGGCCCAGGAAGATGATGCACTTGCGTCAGCTGCTACTAAACACGCAAACACCGTGGAAGTGGATGCCAACGGTTACGGCCACCTCAAGGTGCGGCACTTGGATGCTCCTGATTGAATGTTTCGAACTGTGAAGATGGGATGCAAAGCACTCATCCTATTCACGGAATGAATTATCCTACTGGCTCCATCAAGCTGACCGATTTTATTGAACGCAATCGCATCTGCGACCAATCATCAATGGACCCAGCGTGTCAGAAGCAAGGAAATGAGCAAACACAGAAAGGGGGACTTGATATTTTCAGATTGTGCTCATAATTTTATTCCAAGATATTTCGAGTTTTCAACCAGGTCACTGTAACCCGATTTTGCAGTCACCCGGTTGAACAATACACCCATGATATTTACCTAGTGGAAAGTTCAGTAATCTCGGTCGAATTTGAACCCACGCATATATAAACAAACGCACCATCAGCTGGGTTAAGAGACCACGCCGAGAGTACCGATACCATCACATTTGTATCGCATACCAACTTGCAGAAGCCTATGAAATTTACCAGTTAGCACGAAAGCTGAATGTTGCGGCTGGTTTTCCTTAGAATTCATCAAATGTGCAGATTAAAGTCTTATGGTTGAATTGGGACAGTTTCAGCAATCTCTATATCTGTTGGGGGCTTAACATACATATTTCATCCCTCCAAGTTCACATCACAGCTCTGCTGGTTCTCATACAAATGATGGGGCCCATCTAACCATTGTTGATCAAGCAATGGTACGTATCACAAATAAACGTAACAGTTATTACTGAGGCCGCTCCAATTGTTGCCTTTGTAGTCCGGTGAAGCTGAAATTGAGTGTATACAAAGACAGGAAGTGAGCTGGCGTTTATCTGCTTCTAACTCTAATCCCGTTTAAGTATTTATCATGATAACAATCTGTAAAATAAAAAGCTTTGACGCACACGTGTGACATAATTTTCTAGATTTTAAGTTAATACGTGTGTGTTTAGATAGAAATGTGAGAACAAAATACAAACAATTCGTCTATTTTGTGTCTTTTCAAACCGTTCCGTACCACGTCAAAACTTATTCTTTTCATTTCCTAGGAAATGATCGAACGCGGCTATCGACGCATTCTAATCCTGGAAGACGATGTCCGTTTTGCCCCGGGATTTGTGCGTAATCTGGCCGACGTAATCCGTGAGGCCGATCTGCACAAACCCGAATGGGATTTGCTTTACATCGGCCGAAAACGGATGTCGAAAAATGAGACTCGCGTACCTGGTACAACGAAACTGGCCTATCCGGACTACACCTACTGGACACTGGGTTATTTGCTCAAACAGTCCGGGGCGGAAAAGCTTTTGGCACAGAATCCGTTGAAAAAGATGGTTGCGGTGGATGAGTTTCTTCCGATCATGTTCAACCGGCATCCACAAAAAGCCTGGCTCGAAGCATTCGAACCACGAAATCTGATCGCCTTGTCTGCCGAACCGCTTTTGCTCGAACCGCAGAAGTATACCGGTGAAAAGTCCTACGTCTCAGACACCGAAGACTCCGGGATTGTGGGAATGTTTTGAGAANNNNCCCCTCCCGCCGCACCCTCTTCATCACCCCTACTCCGTTTGACCTATTCAATTTCGACTATTGTGCATAGGGGAATTATTCCGCATGCGTATGTATCACCTTCACGATCCGTCGTTTGTTTTGTTTTTTCTTCCTCTTCCCCGTGCCCCTTCAGCTCCATATTTTGATCCAACTAGGGACTGGATGTCTTTTTGTCCAACATAATAATGATTCTTGTACAACCACTGTATTTGACATCAATGTTTGTAGGTAATTGAAATGTGTTTTTGTTCAAATATAAAACTCTACCACACGGACCATTTATACAACACTTGGACGGTAACGGTATCGGTAAGTTGACGTGCATGCAACAAAATGTCATTTGCAACATGTTTTTGGAATTCCCACAAGATCACAGAATAATTAGTGGAACGGTACGACGGTGGATGTGCATTTCCCGTAGCTACCATTTTGAACACAAAAATTCGATCTAAGAGGTCTTCTTTATTTTCGACCGTTGAGAGAAACAGCCAATCACGTTCTTTTGCGCAATCCAAACATATTAATCACAACACTAGGATCCTGAATTCACTTTTCCGATACGCAGCAGATGTCAAATTGTGAAGTGTTTATGATACGCTGACCCACCTGAATCATGATTCTCATGCTGAAGGCTCATGTATTCTTTGATTTACGAGACTTCGGAATCGGCAAGCTATGTAATGGTGGACCACTTACAGTACGAAACAGCTGTCCAGTGTTCTTTGTCGGTCTTCACCAACATTTCTATCGTGAGGAATTAAGGATCTCCCAAGGAGTGAAACCCACACCCAAGACCATCAAGAGCGCGTGGTGCCTATGAACAATCGAATAGGCTAATCCAAGCTTGCTACTCTGTGCTTACAGTACTATTTGGTAAAAAGCTTTGGCGAGTGACAAACGAACTGTCTAATGGAATGTTACAGGTCGGAAGAACGGTAAAAGTTAGAGGGTTGGGTATTGAAGACAGAGGGGTACCCCATTTATCGCTACCAACCCCGCTCGATGCAGTGGGTAGCGCGATCCTGATTATCCTGCGCGACGACCGATGTAGTGTTGAACTGTTTGTTTTGTGTATGCATTTGGAGTTTGATTGACGTGTACTGCTAGCGTGTCTAGCCACTGAACAGCGGAACGATTGGGGTTTTCAACAAAATTCCATAGTTTTGAAAAGAACCCAACCGCAGCGGGTGGGTCGAAAGCTCCTCTACCATTTCACCGACTGAGACACTAACTCGAGTCGAACCCCCAATCTGGATGACAAGGAGACTGAAGTTTGTCTAACACCTACCTTCTGACCTGTCAGTCATGATAAGATCTCCTGACTTGATAAAACCCATCCTATGTAGCTCGTTGGGTNTCGTTGGGTTAGAGAGACGCACAAGCCACGCACCACGTCAAGATGTAGTCCGTTTGTGATTGGAATCACGAATCTACGCATTATTTGATAGACTTATTTCTCATCTAACGGGCGATAAATATTTTTAAGCCGCTAACAAACGAAGAAAACTACTTCAATCATGTGTTTCAATGAAAAACCGAGTTTAACTCCAAACAGTCTATTCGGTTATTTATTCATCGCAGAATGTATGAATCACAACGCCTTTTATCAAAATCTAACTGCAGTTGACGGTAGTTACTTANNAATGCACAGTTTAGCTCATTCATATCCTTGACGAGTACGACAGACTTCGGTGAACTGCTATACATGATTTCAGCGAATGTCATATCAATGAAGATCTTGGTTAAGGATTTCATTACTGCTTTAATAGCCCCACTCTCTGTGAGTATAGACGAGCATTTACTCTAGCTTCGAAAAAATGCGCTCATGGAATGCGTCGCTCAAAGTATCTGTTGCGGAGGTCCTACTCACTCCATTTTCTTGATGAGGGTAGTTTCGTTAGCGTGAATGGATCGATTATAAAAATCTATTGTCGACTTTAAGGAAGGAGGTTGCAGTTATACAATTGCCATCTAGTGAAATACATAAATGGGGAAGATGGGCTGAAAGATTCGGACTCAATCAGGACTTTAGGGGAATTATGTCTATGAACTCAACCACCTTTATTGGCAAGTGCGATAGATCAAACTAAAAAAGGGTCCGAAACAAATATCATGGTTCCATACTCTTTAGGCTCAAATTATAAACGATATGGTGACTCAGGTTAATCATTCAAACTGAGAATGATTTGGCTGTATTGATTGGAATCGCAAAACACTCTTTACCTGTAAATTTGCTCATCCAAATTCAATGGACAGTGAAGCATCCTTCGATAAACGAATATGCATTGGTCAGTAAAACTGTTGAATTGAAGAGCCGTTTATTTGTCGCGTGTTACATCACACTATTTGTGGAAATGTAGAATCTGATTAAAGATATTTTTGTTCAAATGCACGTGACAGATTTTTTAAAAACTGACAAATCGATCAAGTAACAGAATAAAATCGCAATCACATTTCCAATGAGTGAGGAAAAAACTGCGGTTTAGTAATTCCGATGCGTATATTGATTGCCAAACCGCCAGTAGCAAGCTTTGAACTTGTATAAGCGAAACAGCCATCGGGTGCTTCAGACGTTATAAAGCAATAAAAAGTGTGAGAGAATATTAACCACAACTTAGTAAGATGGTTGATCGGAACAGAAAAGGTTTTATCAATGTAGTCTCGAGCATACCGTTGATAACTGAATCAGTATTGGCAGATTAAAACTAACGTCATTGATAGCACTCGTGACACTATGATCAGCTGTCGTTTTTCACCTGTCTTCCCGATTATAAACCAAATGATTTCAGGCGCTTTCGGTAATCACCAAAAGGAGTCAACTAAATCCACCAGTCTGAAAGAAATATGGCACACTCAAGAGGTATAAAAATGAAGGATTCTGTCTAACTACGAGACGATGTAAGCAACAACCTCGCTATATCGTGTATAAAGAAAAGAAAATACGGTCTGATCAGCTGACCTGTGGGTAGTGTGCTTGCGCTCGACCTGTGAGGTCCTTAGTCCGATTCCGTTGGATCGGCCTCCAAAATCCTCAGTATGGTTGGGAGCGGGTGTCTATGGTTGTGGCTGGTCACCCGTCCCTTGCACCTTGCGAAATGATCTCATACGACCAAGCGTCTCACATAGTCTCTGCTGAGGAAGTCCTAATCACTGCCTTCTCGTGGCGGTGTTTTCCCACCAAAGTGAGAGGACGAAAAGCCCATATCTGGGTTGGGGAACCACTGGTAGTTCACCTAGGGGAGTTGGCTAAAAACCCTGATTCCAAAACAACCAAGAGGAGGCGTGTGAACCACACCCAGACCTTTCCGATTGTGGCAATGGTCACCGGCTCGATTGGGCACTTTGGACGTTTGGCCCAGTCTGAAAGGCGTATGATCTGATGAACTGGACACCGGTTTTCATACACTGCCTCGCTGCCTTGCGGGTCAGGCTTTGGTGAGCCAAAGACTTCGGTTGTAGATTCCCCAAGAAAATTAACCTGCCTTGGCCTGGGCAACCTGGCAGCATTTAGCCCACTTGCAAATCGTGGAGCGTTTTTCTTTTTATAAAGATTATTGTACCACGATTTGTTTGGCACACAGTCTGGCAGCAGACGTGTGAAATATATATCCGTTAGATAGATGGATTTGCAATGTTAATGAAACCGAACCACATCGACACAGCTGTTCGGTGCTTCCTAGCTTATCAGTCCACGCTTAATTTTCATTGTTTAGGACGAAAATAACCATAAAATTACGATTTCTGTACATGGATTTTTAAGTAAATTTATCCTTTTCGCTAATTTCATCTCATTCCAATAAAGTTGAAACTACGATAAACATCCCGGGAGACTGCCATACTGTGCAGTATTTATCTGAAAAAAAGTTGCATCGATAAAAGTATATTAACGGAGGTATACGCGCAGCATGCTATGAGGTCAGCAGTTTACGAAATCCAATTATTTTTAGCCATCCACTTGTGCCAACGACGATCACACAATGCCGTATTCGTTGCTAGCTTCCATCGAACACAGACTGCCTTCGTTCCTGACTGGGTTAACCTAAGCAATTCTGGATTGTGTACGGGAAAAATATTTCCTTGCATTGTATTCAGTGGGCCATCCCCTTTCCCATACATTTGATGTGATACAACGCAGTGCGCGACTGAAAAACATAAAACTAACGTACGCACTGGTGCATATTCACTCCGTATGGGTTGCGGTAACCGCTAAAACCAAAAGGGGTGTTCACCAGAGAACGGCATTTGATTGGCATCCCACATTGAGGTAATTGAATGCTGCTCTTCGAGTCAGGCACAAGCTAACCAACACACTCACCGGGATACAGACGACGTCCAGTGCGGAATAATCCCAACTGGGATAAACGAAGATTTTGTGAGACAGCAAACTGTTACCTCAGACCCACTAGTTTATTCAAAGAATGTAACTGCCATGCCAAAGGTAGATTTTTATGCTACGTGGCGCTTCCCCAGGTCGTGGACAGGGGAACGAAAGCCAAATTGATGTAAACCGTCATTAGGGAGGGTCCAAGCTCATTGAATAATCCACGGTGGATGAGCGGTTGTAACGCCCTGGTGAATACTCTATTTGTCAAGATTCCTCTCTGTAAAATGCCGCATTGGTTTGACTAAAGTATTGGAATTGTTGAATACAACCCGCTGTCTCATTTCAGTTACTCTATTCATGGGGAGACGCATGAGCCCAGCTTATGCTGTCTGGCAGAGTTTCCTTTGACGTACAAAAGCCGGAGTACAAAGGCCGACTGATCCTACAGACGCCGTCTGTATTCTTACTCCTTATGGATTGTTGTGGTCCGTGAAGTAAACTTTTCCGCTAGTGTAAAATTAAATTTTCACGGTGCTACAAACTGGGGATTATTTAGATGAAACGTAGTTAAAGATGATCGGTTGAAATACAGTAAATTCGAACAAGTGTTTTATTTGACCATTTGAGTGATGAAATCAGTTAAGAAGTTTGTTGCGAGATAATAAATCACAGAATTATCTTTAACGGGTTGAGTGGTGGATAGGTAGAATGAACAGCATCGTCCGTTGCATATTTGTTTTGGATTACCAAGTATGTGGTATGAGTACTTTGCAGCTAGGGTAATCAGCTTTTCCAAAGGTATATTATTTAACATGCACGGTCTGAAAATAGACGCTATATTTCTCACGTGAACTTGTCTTTGATAAAGTCATATACATGACTGGTAGTGTGGTCTTTTTTTAGTATAAAATGCAAATGAATTGCTAGAAAACAAATGTTTTGCTAAACTTGATTGTTCTGTATGCTGTGGTGGGCGTCGTTCAGGCGTACAAATCAACTGGATCTTATTCTTATTAATTTGGGAGCTTCAAACTTGCATTTCCGTGCATTCCGTTCGAGTACCGTCTCCGTACGATAATCTTTTTACTTCCTACCATTGAATGGATAAGTGTGGAATAAATTTTTATGAATGGAGAAGCGATAAAACAAAGGGCTGCCTTAAGAGAGGAGTTTGGGTGACTGGTTGGAGACGAACACAGAACCTTTGCGTCGATACGATGGACAGACATAACGATCGGTCACTTACTCTTGTGTTATTTCTGCGTAGAAAGTTAAGATGCTGAATCCGAATGTTCCCTTCATACAATATTTCAATGTGCCCTAGAGTTCGATACTACTACTACCACCACTTTTTGGTGGCGGGGCGGTCATCTCACCACTGTTTTTTGTCGAAGAATAGTCATTCGCCTCAGCATCAGATGTCAGTCAACCACCGAACAGCGGATTGGGCTCCACTCATTTCACCAGGACAACCAAAAATCTTGCTTATAGGACCT